GAATGACGTAGAATGTTCCACAAAGAGAAACGTCAAGTTGGATGAACACTGCGAACAGCGAGAGAAAGAGAATGAGCGATAAACTTCAGAATGTTCTAGAGTTGCCATAAGTGCCAGCGCAGGTATATAAGGGCGCTGCCACAGCGAGGTGAGTTAGTTACAAGACAACAAGCTACAAGTAAAGTGAGCAGAGAAGTGAGTTGCGAATAAGCAAGATATAAGTTTAATTGTGTTACCAAGTTTAGTTAAGTGCTGTTATTGCTTTAACAAGTATTGTAAAGTGTTTTTACTGTATTAGCGAGTATTGTAAATTGTTTGTTGTACAATAAAGTTAATTGTACTACAATTTGGTCATCGTTAGCATTTATTTAACAATCCAGCGATACGAACCGAGAGATTTGGGTAATCCGGACGAGGGTTCAAGGATAATCGTAACAATATTTTTGTATATTACAAATGCATATGTATATCTATGTAGATAACATATAGTCTAGTAATAGGAAATAAAATAAATAAATTGTCTACAAATCAGAATTTTGTTTATATTATGAAATTGCTTTTGAGGGTATGCATCTTACAAAATTTATGTTAGCCTATTAATATATACATACAGTTGTCCACAAAATAATAGCAGTACGATATCTTGACCACTTTTGACTATTTGTCTTTTGTTTATTTAATGCTTAATATTTTTTTTGTAAAAGTCTAGCTGGTTATACAACAAACACCATATAAATTAATATTTCAAACTTTGTACAAAAATTATAAGTATACCAAAATTTCAAACTTTTTAATCAGAATCTTTAGAAAAAATTTTGGTATAGAGTTTTGTAGCCTTTAAGATATATTGTATGAGGTGTAAGTTTCAAGTCGCTAAAAAATCTGATTAAAAAGTTTGAAATTTTGGTGAAACTTTGTATACTTCTTATAATTTTTGTACAAAGTTTGAAATATTATTTTATATGGTGTTTGTTGTATAACCAGCTAGACTTTTATTAAAAAAATAATAAGCATTATATAAACAAAATAAACTAAAAACTACTGTACATATCATACACTGGTGGCCGGATAATTAGAAACGATCTATTTGTAAATATTCACCATCATTGCGAGAGTCGTGTCGAATGCCAGTCGTTTTTCGAGAGTGGAATCGTATCGAAAATTGCACGTCGTTGCCTAAAATTTCCACTCGACTAGTGTATTAAAACGGAAAAACTTGGCAGCACTGTATAGTTTTCGACGATTTTGGTCGTTTACTTATTTCATTACGACAATAGACAATGCTACTGTTGTCGAGTCGTACAATTTAGCATAATTTACGACCTACGCAATGAGGCTGATTATTTTTTATTTATTTTTTTAGGAAAATATAGTGCATACTACAACGAAAATCAAATAACTCAAAGCTTTAAACTTTGTATAAGATTTATAATAATTCGACGAAGTTCGAAAAATGGACATAAAAATTTCAAACTTTTTATGTGGAACTTTTAGAAATGATTCGGGTATGCAGTTTTATAGCCCATTCATCTTTAGTATAATATTGTGCAAGACTATGTTAAGCGATTTCTTCCATACAAAGTGTATTCAACATTTTTTTTTGTATGAGAGAAAATGAGCAACACCGCTAACAAAAAAAAATCTCAAAAATCAACGAGCTAATTCAAACTTGCACAATATTATACTAAAGATGAATGGGCTATAAAACTGCATACCCGAATTATTTCTAAAAGTTCCAAATAAAAAGTTTGAAATTTTGATTCGAACTTCGTCGAATTATTATAAATCTTATACAAAGTCTAAAGCTTTGAGTTATTTGATTTTCGTTGTAGTATGCACTATATTTTCCTAAAAAAATAAATTAAAAATAATATTTACAAATAGATGGTCAAAACTTGAAAAAGAAAATCGTTTCTAATTATCCGGCCACCAGTGTATATGGTACGAATACCAACCGAACCCGAATTCGAATATTAATACAGTAACTGGCACTCCTGGTATTCCTTTATAAACTGAAAAAAAAGAATAATTTACTTTATTTATCCGTGGCTTAATGAGCTGACTTATGTATAAACTAACCTTGCAAAATAGTCTCTGATTAAACTCGACCTCATAAAAGAGACTCCTGGCGTATCGGTCGTGGATTCATCTGCCTCCATTGCATTTTCAGTGGACTCTTCAGCAGTAAAATTTTCTTCTTCGGATGGATCCGCATCTCTATTTTGCCGCGCGATGTTATGTAAAACACCGCAGGCTACAATAATTGCCATAACGGTATTTTTCGAAACTCTTAATCCTGCGGAAAGCACTGGTGTGGTGGTTCTACAGAACCGAGTGGATATTTCAAAGGATTAGGTAC